TGGGAGGATTTGGGGAGCAGCAGGAGAGGCGAGGGCGCGGCGATGCATAGAGGAACCAAGCAAAGGAAGATCCGCGGGAAGGAATGGAGGCGCCCTCCCTGAAAGGCCCCCGGCTTCTTCGTTGGGCTGGGGTCCCAGCTCCCAGCTGTCGCCTCTCCGGGCGGACCCTGAAGCTCGGAACACGGCTCCGGGCGCAGGGGCGGGGCTGGGGGATCCGCGGCCTGGGATTGGCTGCCGCTCCGCCGGCCCGTGACGCGAGGCGGGCGGGCCCCTTTGTGACGTCACCATCAGCTGTTTGAACGTTCGGATTTGTGCTGAGCCGCAGCCGCCGCACAGACTCCAAGCCCGGCGGGCGAGCTCAGCCGCTCGGAGCGTGCGAACGCCCGCCCGGCCGTCTTCCCCCGGCCCCTCCGGGTCCCGCGATGCGGCCCGGCCGGTGAGCAGCCGACGCTCCTGGGACGCTCAACTACCTCAGCGCCGCACCCGCTCCCAGGTGAGTCCCGACCAGTTTTGGCCTGGGGGGCTCCCTGGGCACCGGGACACGCCCTGCGCCCCGAGTTCCCGGGTCTTTGTCTGTCTCTGCCCGCGGTCGTCGGGGCTGTGTTCCTGGTTCCCGATTGGTTGCCGCACGCCTGGCGGACCATGACGTTGCCGTATTTGCATATGACATTGAGACGTCACCAAGGCCGGCACCGCCCCGCCCACTTAGGTCGCTTGTCCTCCCGTGACCTGGTGGCCGCTGTGTCGGGGCTGGGCTGTGGGTGAGGGACGCTGAAATCCAGGGGGAGCCTGATGGGGCTCGGCAGTTTCCTGGGCTCATCAGCCTCTGATCCCCTACTTCCTCCTTGCGACACGGGGAGTCAGACGGTGCTGCTGGGTCTAGGTTGAGGGGGTCGTCAGGAGTTCGGGGAGGCCTCGGACTCCACCTCATTGGGGCAGCACCAGATGGTGGCGGAATCTCCACCCTCCGGCTCCAGGCTCCGCCCCTCAGGGACTAACATAATAACATCCTCCTAATCCCTAATTTGTGTGCTTTAGCTGACGTCACTCCCACTCTCAAAATGAAGGTCTCAGAAGTAAGGGGATACTGAGGCCCAGAGAGAAGTAGCTTATTTGAGGTCACACGATTAGAGTCACACTCTGGGTGAGTGACATCCATTAGCCATGGATGTCTTAGTAGTTCAATACAAGTAGCAAGATACACATCCTCCTTTCACTGGGGAACCTGTCTTGGGCTCAGCATCGTCAAGGTTTGATAGGGCTCCTAGGTCTCCTTACTACCGGACCTTTTTCCGGGGGATCACTATAGATTGGTTCCCCTTTTGTGGCCCTGACCCTTCTGTTCTCTCTACCTTGAAGCCTCAGAGTCCAAGATCATTGCCTCCCAGCTGTTTTGACCACAGAAAGATGACTCATTGGCTGCCTCAGGGTGTCTCCAGGGTTGATGTTAGGGTGGAGGGTGGGGTGAGGGTTCCTTCTTCTATTGGTCCTTCATTAGCTCTCCAATGCCTAGGGTTACCAGCTAGGATTGGCCTAGTGCTAGTGATTGCAAGTGTTCTGCTGTTCCCCCCTACCCCTCAAGTGTAGGAGGAGACTTTCTGACTTTCCAAGTGGATGGGCCTAGAGTCTGGGCCGAAAGTTTCATTCCTGTCCAGGTTTTGCTCAAAGATAGGCTGTGCGTAAGGGTGGCTCGAGGCTCAATGTTATCCCGGCACAGCTGTTGTAGCTTTTTTTTTTTGAGTTGAAGTCTCACTCTGTCGCCCAGACTGGAGTGCAGTGGCTGCTCCCGGCCACCACAGCCTCGGCCTGCTGGGTTCTGGCAATCCTTCCGCTCAGCCTTCCAAGTACCTGGAATTATAGGTGCGTGCTACCACACCCAGCTAATTTTTTGATTTATTGTAGAAATGAGATCTTGCCAAGTTGCCCAGGCAGGTCTCGAACCCGCGGGCTCAGGCAATCCACTCACCTCGGCCTCCCAAAGCATGGGATTACAGGCTGAGACACCGAGCCTAGCCTGTTGTAACTATTAAAGGGAATGGTTCTTCCTGTAGCAGAGTTGTGAATGTGAGCTCTAGGAAGCTGTCAGAGCTGAGAAAAGAAATCTGGTTCGAGAACAGCCTGGGTGACTTGGTAAGACCACATTTCTACAATAAATCAAAAAATTAGCCAGGCGTGGTAGCACGTGCCTGTAGTTCCTGCTACTTGGAAGGCTAAGGCAGAAGGATTGCCTGAGCTGAGCAGGTTGATACTGGGGTGGCCGTGAGCGTGCCACTACACTCCAGCCTGGGTGATGAAGTGAGACTCCAACTCAAAAAA